AGCAACAACAATTCTTTTAACCATTGACTAGCGGATATATCAAGTGATGATGGCTACAACTTATTGGCAGAGAAGTTTATGTTACATGATCTAACTGATCAGGGCATTTGTAAACAGCTTCTTCTCCATTTCCAATCTATGATGATTTTAACCTTTTCTATTTACTCTGGTTTGGATGCTGTGCTGATTTGCTAGTTGTAGGCTGTCGATGCAGCATAGATACAAGTGCTGCCGATGGCCGGCGGGGGTTATGTGGGAACTTAGGTGAGTTGAAATTTTGCTTAATTTGTCAGTTGCATAATAGATTTCTACGTATCCAATTCAGATTAATCGATCAATAAATTGAATATAAAAAAAATAAATCTAACCAAACAAATAAATACACGGATTAATTATAGGGTTATAAACGAGTCAAGTCGAGCTCGAGTCAACAACTCTAAAATGAAGCTCAACTTTACTAGAAAACTCGTGAGCCTAAAATTTTCAGGTTCGACTTAAACTTGAAACCATGAACATAAGTTCAAAAACTTGAAATGAAAAAAAAAATCTTAAACTTAACTCGATGAAAGCTTTAATCTAAAACTCAAACCTGAACCTTGAATACATGAAAGTCTTTTATTATTTTTTTTAAATCAACACATAAATATTAATATTATTAACAATTTATTTTAAAAAAAAATAAAATCTTAATAGATTATATTTTTGAGTGCTCATAAGCTTTTCGAGTTCGGTATCAAGTAGCTCGTTTTGACTCGTTAAGATCTCATGTCAATTTTGAGCTCGAATCTATTCGAGTCGAGTATTTATCGAGCTTTGACCGAGTTGATCTCGAATAACTCACGACATGTTATTCAATTACTTTAATTTCCCACTTGTGATAATAGATTATTTTAATATTTTATATTTTATATTTTCAATAAACGAAACAAAATCATGCATAATACACAGTTCGAATATCAAAATAATACTACATTTTTTTTTCAAATTTTTATTTTCTTTTATATATTGACAATGAAGCGTCACTTTCCCTTTTCAGTTGCAAATAGACATCAGCCATAACTTTAAATTTTATTTTATTTTACGACAAATAATTAAATCTAAGATGACGTAAACAAACTTATACCAACCACTTTGTCTAAATGTTTTTAAAACCGTGAAAATAGTTTGTACTTTGATCCATTATTTGTATGTATTTTTTTTAACAATAAAGTAATGAGATAATAAGTAAATCATTATTAAGCATAAAATACTATAAGTTACATAATTTTTTATACTAAGTACAATATTTTATAATAATTTTGAGGGTAAATTACATCACTCCTCATTTAACTATATTTTCCTGTAACACCTTCATCTCTCGTATTATCTTTAAAAAGTTAGTTGCACTCACCTTTTGACTCACTACACTTTAATGCTATTTTATTGTACTCTCGAACTTAATCATTTTCCTTAGTTCGCTTGTATTGGTTTTTGATCGCGATCTACATGACGTTGATTTTCCAACATACACAATTTCGAATACGAATTAGTACTTTAACAAACTCATATTCGTACAAAATCAAAAAATTGCCCTAAATGCTTATTCGATACAAATTTATCACCAAACGAAACTAACTTAAACTCCAATAAAAATAACCTTCAAGTCCCTTAATATTTACTTAAATTCCATTTCCATCACCAAAGAAATGCTAGATATCACAAAACTATAAAATAAAATAAAGATGGAAATGACTAAGCTGTGGCATAAGCAGAAAAACGGATAATAAACAATTACTTTGACATTCCCTTTCAATGCATGCGTGCAACAGAAATGAAAACCAACCTTTTGCTCAACGAATCTTAATTGATTCCACTAATCCCAGCCTTGTTTCATTAAAACCGAATGCTTGTCCTTTTTTTTCCTTCTCTTGATTCCAATAAATTTTCATATTATAATAATCAAAATAATTCATATTCTATATTTCTTCAAAGCCCCTATAGTAACCGAAATTTTTAAACAAGTCCTCAAAAATGTTTCCAAATCAATTTTCATGCTCAGTTATTCATCCACAACACTCCTAAGATCCAAATTCAACCTTAATTCAATCAAAATCAACTTCCACTTCATCCACCATAAATACCCATTTTTCACACTTAAGCATGGAACCAAGAAATAATTATACCATCTTGTAGAGAAAATAGGATAGAACAATTTCCTATTTCACATCCTAGTCTTAAATCTTAATAAAATGGACCCAAAATGAAAAAAATAATACGCTTAGTGAATTCAATTATTTACTTCAATGTTACTCCTTAATTTACATTTTAATATTATTAAATAGCCATAAAAATTCATCTCTTAATTTCCCTTTTTGACCTTCCAATTTTTCAAAATTTCATTTTAGTCACTAAATTATACTATTCCACTTTATAGTGCAATTTTCACCAAATTCCACCGGTCCAACTTCAATTCCAATAATTAAAAATATCCATATAATTTATCTAAATAAAAAATACCTTCCTTCAAATTTTTGTAAATTTCCAATTCGATCCGACTCTCCGAATATCATACCGATCTTTGTTCGTTAATAAACTTTTTGACAAACTCAAAATCAAAATTCCAAAACCCACTAAAATAATTGTTTTGGGCTGAAATACTTATTTACAAACTCAAAATATAACTTTGAAAATTTACATTTATAGTCCCTAAACTTTTACAACTTTATACTTTGTCCCCAAACTTTCAAAATTTATATTATAGTCACTAGTCCAAAATTTAGGATATTACACTTCCTCCTATTTTACTCACCTTACTTTCAATTTTTCTAATTTACTCACTAAAATTTTGAATTGCTCTTGTTTTGACCATTTCGAATTATTTTTTATTATTTTCGTATGATGTGGCATTTATTATTTTTATTATTAATATTATTTAACATAAAATAATTTAAAATATAAAATATAATAGAAGGTGATCAGATACCATCATTGGTTGTCGTTAACCACCGTAGATGGTGTTTGGTCCCAAATTTCATGGTTTGATTTACCTCAACAATGTGAGTTCGAATCTGACTTCCATTTTATCAAAACTTGATTTGAAATCTACGAATTGGAGATTGAAAGTGAGGAAGCCGAAACATTTTAGTATAGATACACGAGTTTTGGGACATTTTCCGATGAAACAACCACTATATTCGGACTGAGGGGGTCGAGATGAATCAACCCATGAAATTTCGGACTGAACGATCACAATCTACAATTATCGACGGTGGCATTTGACCACCTTCTTTTTATTTTATTAAAAAAATAATAAATGTCGCATCATACAAAAAAAATAATAAAATAATTCAAAGAGATCAAAACAAGCCATTTCGAAAGTTCAGTGAGTAAATTAAAAAAATTAAAAGTACGGTGAGTAAAATAGGAAAAATAGTATAATTCAATGAGAAATAGTGTAAGTTACCCTAATTTTGATAATGACAATGGTAAGGAAGAATCGAATATTTTAAGAATCGTGGCTTTGATACTATTCTTATAGTACTATATTTATATGATCTGCTATGTGAGGAAGAATTATGATGTGATCTTCATTCTATTTATTTATTTAGATAATATTATATATTTTTAGTATATTGAAATAACATATTAATGTTTAATTTTAATAATTTTACTTAACATTTAAGCTAAAATATTTACTAAAGAATTAAAGTATTTATTTTATATTGAAATGCTCCTTTATTTTATATGTTTTCTTTTATTTAATCATTCATTTTGCATTGGTATTTTATTTATTTTTAAAGTATAATTTACTTATACACCTACCCTTGGTTGGTTGGTTGGTATGAAAACCTTCACCTTTCTCTACAATTTTGTTTTCTATTGTTTCCCCACATTTTCCTTCTAAATTACGGTTAGTGTTTTGATTTTGAAATTAAAATATAATAATTAAAAAAGTTTAATATGATATATAATATAATATAATATATTATATTTTAAATATAATTATCATATAAATTTAATAAATTATGACATAAATATAAAAGTATTAAATCAATTAAAATACCTAAAATTTATTTTTTATTTCCTCATAATTATAGTATTTCCTCTTTTAAACACAAAAATACCAAATTAAAATTATTATTATTATTTATAAATTAAATTTGGTTAATCCCATTTCGCTTCGTGCAAATCAAAGACTCACCCTCTCCCTTCCTCTTTGCTGTCACACACACTAAGAGACGACGACGGAGTCGCAGCGATTTTCCGCTCCGGTTTTATCGCCGGCGGTATTTTCCGGTATAGTCTCCTTTGAGTCTCCAACTTAGTCCCTCACATTTCCTGTAAGTCAATCTTTACTCCTTTCCAATCTATTATCCGGAAATAAATTAAGAGGACGAAAAGGGAAAAAAGAGATTTATGCATGTTGATTCGACTGAGATAATAATCGATGGGCAACAAGAAGAGAAAAACGTTGCTCCGCGTTCGAAACAGCCTCCGGTGCGGGTGGAAGTTGTTAACGGAACAGATGAAGCTGATTTAAGTAAAAATAATACGAAGATCGAGGTATTGGCTGTTCCGGTTGAATCGGCGGTTCGTCTTCATCGTCTTTGGTTAAGGTTGAGTGCGAGCGAGCCCTAACGGCACTCCGACGTGGCAACCACGAAAGCGCTTCGGTTAATGAAAGAGTCGTGCACTCGTCATGAGAAATCGACCCACGCCGCTCTAATCCACCGCGTTCAAGGCACGGTCTGCCTGAAAGTGGCGTCCATCATGGATGACCAGAATGTCAAACATAGATATTTCAGAAACGCGATAGATTCAGCCAAAAAAGCTGTAGAATTATCTCCGAATTCCATCGAATTTGCTCATTTTTATGCTAATTTATTATATGAAGCGGCTAACGATGGAAAAGAGTATGAAGAAGTGATTCAGGAATGCGAGCGCGCTTTGGCAGTTGAGAATCCAGTGGATCCCGCTAAAGAAAGCTTACAAGAAGAAATTCAACAGAAAATACCAACTGCGGAAGCAAGGATTTCTTACGTGCAAAGTGAGCTTAGGTCGTGATACAGAAATCGAATATAGCTTCAATTTCTACTTGGATGAAGAACTTAGTGAGTGGGGAAGAGAAGTTTAGATTAATTCCGGTTCGGAGAGTACCTGAGGATCCAATGGAGGTTAGGCTAGTGCAAACGAGAAGGCCTAATGAGATTAAGAAAGCTACAAAAACGCCAGAAGAAAGAAGGAAAGAAATTGAGGTTAGAGTTGCTGCTGCTAGGTTGTTGCAGCAGCAGAAATCTGAAGCAGCTTCTTCTTCACCACTGTTGCAAAGCACGGGAGATAAGAATGGGCTGGATTTACCTTTGGGAAGTGGTAGGAGGAGGAGAAGACTGGTTCTACAGCTGAAAGGAAAGATTGGGTTAGATCATTTTGGAATTCAATGAGTATTGATTTGAAGAGAGATCTGCTTAGGATTAGGGTTAGCGACCTCAAGGCATATTTTGGTTTGGTAAAATATGGATCGGCAAGTGATGTCTTATCGGAGGCTTTAGAATTTGCTGAGGCAAATAAGACTTGGAACTTTTGGCTTTGTTGTAGGTGTAGTGAAAAGTTTGTGGATTCAGAGTCTCATATGCAGCATGTTGTTCATGAGCATATGGGGAACCTCATACCAAAAATGCAGAACGTTTTGCCGCCAGAGTATTGATAGTGAGTGGATAGAGATGCTCCTTAAATGTTCTTGGAAGCCTTTGGATATTTCTGCTGCAGTTAAAATGATTGGGGACCAGTCTAAATGCCAGACTTCTGAGTTATCAGAGGATTTTGTCTCGGGGAACTGCAATGAGCAGTGTGATGATTGCTTCAAAGATGCATGGCCTGAGAAGGAAATATTTGGGGATAGTTACAATTGTAGTAGTGTAGAGGGCAATGACTGTGACAAAGTTTCTAGCATTGAGTGCAGAAGATCTGATGGAAGCAAGGGTTCTATGGCATATCCCCTTGTGGATAGTTGGCCAACAGTGGACGATGCCGAGCGTGCCAAGTTGCTTGAAAGAATTCATGCTACATTTGAACAGCTTATTGGACATAAGTATCTTGCTGTGAGCCATCTTAACAAGGTGATACAGTTCACAATGGATGAGTTGCTGAGTCTGGTTTCTGGTTGTCAGCTTTTGAAGCATGGTGTAGATCGAACTCCCATGCATCAGTTTTCTGGGAGCCACTCAGCTTAGGAAAATCCTTAAATTCTTGCTGGATTATCTCAATCTTGTGGCCTGACTAGATATTCTGAGAAGACTGCTCCTGTGGACGATGCAAATGGTGCTACTAAGATTCTTGAGGTTAAAGAGAAGATTGTTCTTAATGCAGATGCTTCTTGTCTCCTCCTGGATGAACATTTATTGTCTGATACAGCAATAGAAGATTCATCCCTGGAAATTTCTACTGGTAGCAATGGAAATGAGTTTGTACTGGATGCTGATGCTCTGTTGTCCTGGATCTTTTCAGGCCTCTCAAGTGGAGATCAATTGGCATCATGGATACACATGAAAGAAGAGAAAACACAGCAAGGAGTGGAAATTCTCCAGATGCTGGAGAAGGAGTTTTATCACCTACAGAGTCTCTGTGAAAGAAAATGTGACCATATAAGCTATGAGGAAGCTTTGCAGGCTTTAGAGGATCTTTGTCTTGAAGAAGGTAAGAAGAGGGAGACCGCCGCTGAATTTTCCCGTCGAAACTATGAATCTGTTCTTAGAAAGCGCAGAGAAGAACTTGTTGAGGCTGAGAATGATGCTATGTTCCTTAGCAGTAGATTTGAGTTAGAGGCAATAGCAAATGTTTTACAAGAAGCAGAGGCGCTGAATGTCAATAAATTTGGTTATGAGAATACTTATGCTAGTCTGACTTCTCAGCTATGTGACTTGGAATCTGGGGAAGATGATGACCGGAGAGCCAAGGATTATCTGCATCAAGTGGACCCCTGCATAGAAGTTGCCATTCAGAGACAGAAGGAGCAATTATCGGTAGAGGTCCGCCATCTGCTTTAGGTGCAATTTTCAATATAAGAAAATGATTCTCAACCTGCCATTCTTAATTGTTTCATTTTGTCAAGCAGCTAAGCAAAATTGATGCACGAATTATGCGAAATGTTACTGGGATGCAGCAGTTGGAACTCAAACTTGAGCCTGTATCTGCTTACGATTATCAGTCAATAATGTTGCCTTTAGTGAAATCATACTTGAGGGTTTGTATGAGGCTGACTGGATTTGTGTGAATTATGCTTATGATATGCCCTTTATTTATTTATTTATCATTTAAAATTCAGGCGCACGTAGAGGACCAGGCCGAGAAAGATGCCACTGAGAAATCTGATGCTGTGAGAGAAGCTTTCTTGGCGGAGCTTGCACGTGATTCCAAGAAGGGTGCTCGAGGAAGTGATAATTCCAGACATTCACAGGAGAAATAAAGGATAAGAAAAGAATAAGGAATTCAAAAAACCAAGGATTCAAGGGTAGGGTTTACTTTTTAGTTTTAAGATTCAGCTGCTAGTTATTTCAGTTGCATATTCCATGGTGCAGGTCTAATTTTTTTTCTTACTGTTTCAGGCTTCTGGTGGAAATGAGCTTCATATGCTAAATGATGAGACTATCGAGCAAGTGTATGTTTCCCTTCTGTTTTCCATTCTCGTATTCTCAATATCCATTAAGCATTCTGTTCTTTGCATAGTCTAATGTTGACGTGCATTTTCATTCACATTTTATTGCAGTTCTGTGGTAGTTGCTTCTGATGGTAACCATCTAGATTCTGAAGTTTCTGCGAATAGTGATGACTTAAAACAGCAAGAAAAGGAATTTAGACGAAAAATAGAACTTGAAGCAGAGGAAAGAAAGCTTGAGGAGACTTTGGAGTATCAAAGACAGATTGAGAATGAGGCTAAACAGAAGCACCTTGCGGAGCAAAATAAAAGAACTATTCAAGCATATGAAGGGAAAGCACCCGATGGATTGCATGATGCTTATTTGGATGCTGGTAATCTAGATATTCAGGTGAGCATTTTGTTCTCTTTTATTTATACTTGATGCGATGGGAAGTTGATCAATGCTTTCGGTCCAAGACGTGCTTTATGCTGTTAACTCTATGGGTACCACGATCAGATAATCAAAAAACTGTATTAACTTTCTTTTCAGCAACATTTGGCAATAAGGAGCGTGGTCACAAACAATTTGGATAGCTTACCAATGAGCACTGCTAATGGTTTAGCTGTGCCAGTGACTTCTAATGCATCTGGCACTCTTGCAAATTTTAAACAAGGTTAGCAATATAACCAGGTTTGTTAATTTGGCTAGTTTTCCCCATGGTACTCTGGAGATCATCATCTTTTTACATTATTTAGGACTACCTAATGGTGCAGTCCCCGAAGATGGTTTTCTTCCTAGTGATCAATGGACAGGAAGAAAGGGTAGACGACATAAAGGTAACAACAAATTTCTTGATGGAAAGGATCAACACCCGTCATCTGAAAACCAAAACATTCAAGTTAGAAGCTCTCATGGCAATGTGGAAGAGCAAGTTAGATATGTTGATGGTGGCCCTAGGGAAGGTGGTACAAAGACTTTAAGACAACTGCAAGCTGAGAAAGATGATGACGAAAGGTTCCAAGCAGACCTTAAGAAGGCTGTTCGCCAAAGCCTTGGTAATGTTCTTACTGCATTTAAATTTTCATGCTTATTGTTCTTACTAGTTTGTGCTTGGGATTTGTTGTTTTGATACAAATCACACGAACTTGGTGAACATAAAAGAACCGTTTTAGTGGATGTTTGGTAAATCTTCTGGGCTTCTCAGTAGCATCTTATGAACTGACTTTAAAATGATTTCACTAATGAATTTTTTCTTGTTAAAAGAAAATTCTGTTAAAAGAATATTTTGCAGTCAATAATGCTTTTCTGCAATTTTTGTTGAGACGGTGAAACTTCTTTGCTGTGTTACGAAGGTTAAGTATTGGTGTCCTTAATCTGATAGGCTAATGTGAAAAAATATTTGGACACCAAACTGCCTAGTTAGTTATGCATTTTTATTTAACCTGGTAGTTTTGGGCCTTTGGCTCAATGCTTGAGAGTGTACTGGTATTTGGCGGTCTATTGTGGAGTTGCATGAATATTCTCACGTGTATACACTTCAACAAATTAAGTTTCACTTAAATAAAATGGACTTTCAGTTTTTGTAATACATGTATTCCTTACTGTGGTAGGTTTTGGTTGTGTAGTGTTCTTTATAATTGATTGCAGCCTAGCTCTGGGAAGCTGTGCACTTAAACATGGTCTTGGTGTTAAGTTCGTAATCTTGTTTTTATATCATTTTTCAGACACATACCAAGCACGACAGAGATTGCCCTTGTCTTCAAGTTCGAGAACAGTACAAAGGGTACCTTGGAAGTGAAAAACCAAGGTGTATCCTAATGAGGTCTCCAGTGAAGGTTCGAATGAAACTGATGTGTTCGGTACAGGTCTGCTGAATGAAGTAGGCGAATACAATTGCTTTCTGAATGTTATTATACAGGTTGGTTTTCTTGTATTGTGATTCATGGTCTATTTCAGCCCACCGTCCTTGGACTTAGCCCTATATGTAACCTCTTTCAAATCATTTGCTGCCTTTGGTATTAACTGCAGTCATTGTGGCACTTGAGACAATTTCGTGATGAATTCTTGCGGAAATCAGCATCAGATCATGCTCATGTGGGAGATCCGTGTGTTGTCTGTGCACTGTATGAAATTTTCACTGCCCTGAACATCGCATCTAGTGATGCACGGAGAGAACCAGTTGCCCCTACATCACTTAGAATATCCCTTAGCAACTTGTATCCAGATAGTAACTTTTTCCAAGAGGTAGGTAGTTTTTTATTCTACATCACTTTTCTAATTATTAGTATCCCCATCATTATCCATAATTATGATTTTAGATGGATGTCTATGTTTGAAAGTTCTGACAAAGATGGTAGCAATTACAGGCTCAAATGAACGATGCTTCTGAAGTTGTCTGTAATATTTGATTGCCTTCATCAATCTTTTACTTCTGATTCGAGTGTTTCTGATGCTGGTTCTACGGACAGCAACTGCACGGGCACTTGGGATTGTTCGAACAGTGCTTGTATAGTGCATTCTATTTTTGGAATGGATATCTTTGAACGAATGAATTGCTACAGTTGTGGTCTGGAGTCCAGGCATTTGAAATACACTACATTTTTTCATAATATAAATGAGCGCACTGCGAACAATGAAGGTATCGATCCTTTGCGAAAGAGAAAATAACCTGGAATTGAACAATTTTCTTGGTTCTCCCTAACAAACTTTTGTTACCATTCAGATTATGTGTGCCGAAAGCTCCTTTGATGAGCTTTTAAATCTTGTGGAGATGAACCATCAGGTAGCTTGTGATCCAGAGGCCGGAGGTTGTGGGAAGCTCAACTATGTCCATCACATTCT